ATCAGTACCCATACGTCATCGTGCCTTAAAATGACGAAACCTGAAATTACAGAGTGAAGTGAGGAAGACTGAAATAAAACGACGGCGTCTTGGGGTAGACTATCAGACTCAGACACATCATCAAGCTTGATTTAATTATTTTTTAAAAATTTTATTTTGTTTAATAGTAAAAGGAAAGGATTTGTATGTTTGTGGGAAGGAATCTGAAAATATAAACCAAAAAGTATACTTACTACTTATAATAATATTTGGAGCAATTCAAGGGATTAATATTAGTTTAAGTAAGGTAGGTTGGTTTTATTTGTCTGCTTACTTCGAGTAAATTGGTCCAGATCCAGAACGTGACAATGTGACTTCCACTGTTCCACTATTCATAATTAATTTACACTTATTTAGCTAATGACACAAAATTAACTTATTTATTTTTATATACTATATCTCGTCTCTTGCTTCTATCTTATGTTTTTTTTCTTCTCTTAGATGATACAATACAATAATAATATTTTTTCTTTCAATTATCTCGTATTTTGCTTCTATCGTGCGTATTAATAATGCATTTTTTTTCTTAGATGATACACACAAATCCGATTAATTTCACGTGTATACAAATTCGTGAAATATATTTTATTCCATATAAAACATTCAAGTTTGAAAAATCAAGCTATTGTTAGTCTACCTCCTCCCTTAATCTTTGTAATTGACGATGCCTTTAAAACTAAACGATTTGTATTCTGAAACATCTTCTCTTTCAAACTACTTTCTCGATCTCTACGACTATAAACGTCATAGCCTTGTAATTTGTTTCCCTTGCAATTTAAATAGAAACCTTTTTCAACAAAAAAAAAAAAAGGGTTTGAAAATCAAAACGTCTAACACCATACTTAGAGAAATTCCACATTCATCCAAACAAGTTAAAAGTCCATTAATCCATAAACAACATTCAAAATACGAGTGATAATCAAATCCCAACCTTTATAAAGTTACGTCGTGAGATATAAATTATCATTCTACTATATGCCACTATTATTAGGTGAAAGAAATAATTTGTTACTCAGAAAATTCAAATCCTAGAATCTCTTAAATACTTCGTAAAAAAAATTATTAGACTAAAAATTTCCTACACTAATTTAGCAAAAAAAAAAAAAAGATTTTCTACACTATTTAGAGTATCTCAAACCCCACTTCATATCCCACTCCAAATTTTATTTTTGAGTAAAATAATCTCTAACCTCACTCTATTCTCAATTATTAAATGGAGTAACCTATTTTTTGCTCTAAATATAGAATAATTTCATTTTCTACTTCATTTTAGAGTTGAAATTATATATATATATAATGGTATTTCAAACTTTAAATAATTTTATTTTAAAAGATAAATAATTATTTTGGTGTTTTTTTTGTTTGATATTCTTTCTAATTAAAGATTTACGAGTTTATCAAATCACAATAATTTGTAATAAAATAATTGTAAGATATATAATGTATGAAATTGTAATGTATGTGTAAGTTTTTTTAGATTAAAAATGTGTACGTATGTCTAAGTTAATACTATATGTTATTATGAACTTAATTCTTAAAAATGTATATTTTCAAGTTAATATGTATGTATGTGTAAGTTAATATAACAAAACATAATGTTCCGATTTTGATTTATAAAAAAAAAAAAAATAATGAGGTCAATTTGTAAATTTACAAATGAAATATATTATTAGTAATTCATAATAAATAGAAAAAACAAAATATACTTAAAATATTTTTTTGGAATAAGAATTGGAGTAATACATTAAATTAAAATTCAACTCCATTTTGGAGTGAAAAATAGAGTAATATATTAGAGATGTTTTTATACTATAATTTTGTTTTCCAATCTCTAAATAACATAAACATGTTTTTTTGGATAAGAATAATATTTCAAAACATTTATCAAATATTAAAAAAAAAAAGATTTGTGA